CAAACTGGCTAATATACTGTTGAATGGCTTCCGGTGTAAGAAAGCCGGCGTACATGGAATTGGCGGCGGCAGAGGAATCGAGATTGCCATTGCCCGAATTATCAGCGTTTGGTGACATCTAAAAATAAATTTTAATGGTTCAGTTTTATATCAACTAATTGGCTAAATGCAGTAAATAGTATAAACATACAGATGCAGGTATTTGTTTCTGTTCGCTAGTTGCAGCTTCAAGTTCGGGCTGTTGTGCGGGTGAAGATATACTTTGATTGCTGCTTTTCAGATCTGTTGTTATTTGCGCTGTATCGGCTCCAGGCTGTGAGGAAGGCGTATTCGTTGCGGCGTCGAGTGGCACCGCAAACACAATTCTCACTCCAATGAGAATCATAAATGCCAGACAACGAACAAATGTTAAATTTGCCATTTTTCACCAATCGATCGGAGTACTCGTTTTTAAATGAATGTGCTGCTTCTAGAGTTTTAAAACGACTGCTTGTGGAGGTACCACACTTAGTCTATTTAACAACTTGCATATCCAGCCTGAAAATCTTAGGCACATTTTAAATGTTTGAACTGGAAATATCCGCGCGTACTTCCGCGTAATTTTCAGGTATAACTCACTTCCAAGGACTGTCTGTGAAATTTAAATAACCTTCGTCCTTTTGCGTTGTTGTTATCTTGAGTTAATCCTGTTGAATTTACGTCCTTACATGTAAATACTGTGCACGTGTTGCAGGTATCCTTTCTTCTGCATCGCCATTCGATCGCTTTGCACTTATCTTTCCTTATCGCTACACAGGTAAAAGGAGACTGCATGTGTAGTCATTAACAACAAGTGTGCAAGTAGATAGCTTTGTCAAAGGTATGTAGCTTGAGAACGTTGCTAATGCCACAGTCAATAGTGGTGGACGAAATTATTGGGACAGTGCTATGTTTAAACGGTCCTAGCGAAGGCAAGAGAAAAAAGTTTCTTTTTTTATGGAAGAAAATTTAGAGCCCTATTCATAAAAAATAAAAAGTTTATAGATTGAAAAATATGTATATAGAAATGCCAATTTATAGAGCTTTTTAAACCTACTTTAGTTTTTATGAATAAGGCCATTAAAAAATAATAGCACTGAGAATCAAAGGACTATTTGTATTTATTGAGTTTAGTTTTATTTTATATTATTTTATTTTATTTCCTTTCATTTTATATTATTTCTTCGTATTCATTATTCTACGCTGGACTTTCCTTTCGATGCTACTGTCTCATTAAGAAACTTGCATTGTAATACAATTAATTAAGTGTGAGATTTGCATAATAACCTCAGACAAATTGAACTAAAACAAAACAGCTAACTTGTAGCAGTTATAAGCTATCAACACCTCATTACTTCATATCATGAATTGGCATTAAATATACAGGGTAATTAAGCGGATAGTTTTTGCATGACGTTTTTAACATTTACGCACACATTTTCTAAGTTATAAATTTATTCAAATGATTTAGTATGTATTTATGTGCATATTTATGTGCATAACGCTGTTTGCTGGAATCGCATCATATGTCAAGAAAAAGAAAAATAAATTAATTAATTGTATTTGAGTTTGAGGCCATTTTTTGTGAAGAGCTTTTTTTGGAAAAACAACTATACAGGTAATACATCGTATCTTCGAGCTCAGGAAAATTGGAATCGAGACACAGCGGCATACAACTATAACTTCGAACCTTGCCTCTTATTTTTGTTTTTTCATACAAATTTTTCATAAAGCCTGGCCCGAAATTCAAATACTGTGACGTAGCTAGCAGGGGAAAGTAGGGATATACATCAGGAATACATCTCCCCCTTCGTAAAGTATTATTTTTTTTCTTTGAACTTATAACACAATACCATTTTATTTTCTGATTTAAAGTTTTTTATTTCACACTTAATACAAAATATATATTTATAAATATTTAAGATTATCGGTTGTGGATCGCACCTTGTGACAGTCAATTTTACAGGAAAAAAATCCATATATTCGTGAAACCAAGCCAAAAATATGTAGTAAAACTACGTTTTTTTGATTTTCTTTCTGATATCAGGTTTTCTTAAAAGGATTTTGAAATTTTAGAGATGTGATTAATTCAAAAAAGTTATTTAAAAACCTCAGTGAAATGTAGAATAACAACATGGGTATCATGTAAAAAAGAAAATTCTGCAGAATTAAAAAAGTTTACATTTTTTGATGCCTTAGGATGAGTAGGTACTGAAAAAGCGCTATTTTATCCTTGAATATCTTTGAAAATTTTTAATATGTATTTTTGAAAAAATTTTGTGTTAAGAACTAATATACACACGACCACATCCTCTAATCTCCCCCTTCTAACCTTGTTAGTATTCGTCGTTGTGAGTCGAAATTAATAAATTTTTTTTTATTTTACAGAATTTTCTCTTTCAATTGGTATCCATATTATTTTATTGAATTAATCATATTTTTGAAACTTGAAAGTCATTTTAAAAACGCAGTTTACTATATCTGGCCCATAGTTTCATGAGTATATTGATTATTTCGTGAGTTTTGAAAATTTTTGGATTGTGTTGCACGGTGTTATGCATTTGAATACTGAGCTTACAGGAATATTAAAAAAAAAAAACAAATTTAAAGTTTTATTGGGCACTTTGTGCAGATTCTTTGGTCTGACACTGATTAAAAGTTCTCTCGAATAACATTTCTCGGAAATATCACACGAAAAAAATATATATGTATATCGAGCCCTAACCGCCAAAATAACGTAAGCGACATTTTTTTCAAAATTTTCTTTTTGATGCAGAAATATTCCTAGAGCATCTAGATACATTTCTGCATCAAAAAGAAAATTTTGAAAAAAATGTCGCTTACGTTATTTTGGCGGTTAGGGCTCGATATGTATTTCTGAACTGGAATGATTTTCTCTTTTTTTCTCGTCCACACTAAAGACTCAAATATTTTATGAAGTTAAATTTCAATTACACCCCACTTCATTTGAATAGGTACACACATTTCCCTCAAGATCCAAGTTTATATTTGGGGCATCGGATAAGTTTATTTTTAACCTCGTTTTTACTAATTATTAATTTTGAAGAAGAGTAATGAAATTGAGGAAAACACCTTAATTACTTTTGATTTTATTCCATTATTTATTTATCAACTACTTCCTTTTTTGATTCACTTGAATAGGCACCAGAACGCGTAGCCTCATTATGTGTTTGGCAAAGTTATTAAAATTGCACTTAAAACCTTTTTAAGAACGTAAAGGATTATTAAAACTATAACAGAGCAAGCGCCCTTTCAACTATAAAAATTCATAAATGAAGGGCTTCACGGATCCAAGACTTTGCAGGCGATCTGTTGAATATAAAACTGAAGGAAATATAAATGTTTTCGGCAGCTGAAGCTGTCTCACAGCTTCGCATGAAAAAGCATGAAATGATCCACACAGAACACAAAAGCTAGACGGAAATGACAAAAGACCTTGTAAAGAGGTCAGCATCTTATTGTCGACATAGTGGAAATTAAAGAAAAACGTTGATGTTGATGACTCCATAAGGGAACTACGGATTACACTTGTGTTCAGAAAATGTCAAAAAAAAAACATAAATTTTACTATACAACGTTAAGATCATGATTGGGTTTTTGTACAACTCGCATGCCTGAAAGCACAACTAGAAATTGTGGCGAAAAGTATAAATTTGAGGGCCACAACGTACGAACGTTGTTTGTTTCCCCTCCATGATCAAGAAAAGAGTATGGCGGTCTGAACTGCGATTTCGTAGTCCAGATCAGTTGAGATAATATTTCCAGCTTTCGAAATTACATATAATTCATGCAAAAAGTATTAAGGCATTGGAGGTCTTTTTCTCAACGTGAGACTTCCATAAAAGTTTATTTTATAAGATTATACCTATGTAAATACTCCTTCTAGTAAAGAGCACAATACTAGCCTTGGTTGGGTTAGTGGACAGCCCATTGTCACTACACCAAGTATATATAAATCATATTTAGTTTTATTTGCGATTTCCTGCAGACAACTCACGGAAAAGGACATATCATATGCACAGACCTGGCGCAAATGATAGAACCGTGGTGGTAGAAGGTGTGACCAGCAGGGAATCAATTGCCAACATCACAGCAAAGGAGAAAGCCGACCGCTCTGAGTAGAGCCCATATGAACACCGCACACGACATACTGATTCGTTTCTGCCTGAATCCTTAAAAACCTACGCGAGCATTGAACTGCATGCCTTAGAGCCGACGCCAGGATTTTTTTTTCAAAGGACTTTGCAATTTTAAAGATATGATCAATTCAAAAAACTTTTTAAAAAAATCGGTGCAATGTAGAATAATAATATTGGTACCAAATGAGAGTGAAAATTCAGTAGCATTTAAAAACAATAACATTTTTTATTTTAAAGCAGTGATTCTCAAAGTGGTCCAGGTGGACCCCTAGGGGTCCATGGTTACCTCGACAGGGGTCTACGTTGGCGTGAAAAAAATATGGGGTCCACGAGTTGTAAGTAAGGGTCCACGAAAATTTATCTGGCTTCGACAGTAAGGAACCAAAATGGTTGCTTGATAGCCTATTTATTTCACTTGAATTTTTTGAGTGGTCTATGGTACTCTTGACGCACTGGTGAACTTACCGTCACTTTGTGTCATCATAGCACTAAAGAAGTTTTATCCTCTTTTCATGCCCAACATTTTTTCAAAATGATAGATTACATGCACAGTTTCATATTTTCGTGAACGTTTTTACACATTCCAAAGAAAAGTTACACATTCGGGAGAATTTTTTACTCATTCGGAAGAATTTTCGACCCTGAAGTAAGGATGGATTTTTGGTTCAGTGTAATAACCCGAAGGGACTGGTGTCATTACCAAATAAGTTCACCTAGGTAAGTTTTTGATGTATTAAATTGAGTCACGTGATGGTTTTCGTTAGCTTAAAGGACGTGCTTTAATAAGAAAAATATGAAAATTTCAAGAAATATTGAGGTGAATTAATATACGGAATTGAATTAATATAGGAAGGAACGATTTTTTCCTATATAGAGTACATAGTTTTAAAACGTAAAGTTATTAAATTGAAATTTTCTTCGAAACACTGAAACTCAGTGAATTCAGTCTTTTGTACAACACTGTAATTTTATAGAAAATGAATTAGGGGTCTTTCTATATTAAGGTAACGATATGCAGTTCGTTAAGAGTCGTGATGTCGCGGAGGAACCGAAAAGAACTAAAACGCAATTTTCTGTACCAAAGAGGGTGTTATGTGTTCCTCGTTGCCAAGAGCTGAAAAAAATCGATACATACCAATGCGAACATTGAAGGTATTAACCTATTTAACAAGCTATTGGTGGCCGCTTTACCGTCTGATATATTAACTTTTAAACCGTTTGAGGCTTGCTAGCACTACTGCCTGAAAAACTGTCTGCCCACTGCCAATTGCAATAGAAGATTTAATTCCGTGTCCGCACCTGTTTTGCCTGCATCATTGACCCCTCTGTGTATTTATGTGCCAGTGTGCACATCTTTGATCCTATAGCACTTTAACTTTGAAATAATGTAAATGTTTTAGTTTTTTAAATGAGTGGCGATTTTTATTTTTAAAATAATGTTGGTATTTATGATTACTTACAATTTACACAAAACGTAAATGTAATACAACGAAACACAAATACATATGCACATACATATCTAAGTCTTAACACTATGTTAACAAACTGCCTAATCGAAAAATTTCTTGAATTCCAAAACACCTTCCCAGTTCTCTTCCCATCCAGGTAGTTTCTTTGCAGTTTCGTACCATTTAGCAACATTAGGGTACTTGCTGATATCAAAGCCAGCGCCGTCGAATGTGGAAACCGTAGAGAGAATTGCTAAATCAGCTACGGTCAATTTATCACCAGCCACATATTTGTTGCCTTCTAGGAATGTGTTCAAGAAATCAAAAGCAGTTTCTATCTTTTTATACAATTCAGGATCAGCGGATTGCTTAGCGAAGATCTGTGGGTAATAGTAGTCGGCGAATGATTTGTATAGAGTGCCCATATCAAAGTATAGCCGCTGATTGACGACAGCTTGCTTCTTGGGGTCTTTGGGGAACAATGAGTCATCCTTGCCATATTTCTCGACCAAGTAAACTAAAATGGCACGCGACTCCCAAAGCGCAAAGCCATTGTCCACCAATGTGGGAATGGTGTGCTGCGGGTTGATTTTCAAAAATTCCGGAGTCAAATGTTCACCAGCTTGCAAGTTCAATAATTTCTTGTTCAGTTCAATACCAAGGCTCTTGGCAGTCAGAAGCACTGAACGACAAGGTGCAGAACCAGGTAGGTAGTAGAAATCCACCATGTTTCTTTGAAGTATTTAATCTATTGAAAAGGGAGAGAAAAAATAGTTGTTATATAAATGATATTCTTATTCTAATACTTTAAGTGCATTCTTCAAAATATGCACCGGATCGTCAATACCCCTAATGTAAAATAGCTCAAAATTGCTAAATGTCTCTTCCCTTTTTACATTTTCGCCAACGCATGTACATACGAGCTGATGATAAATTATCAACTGCAATTACCGCTTATCTATTCTCTAAAATCTTTTGAAGCTATGTATGGATGTATTCTCTATTTTTCATTTATGTGTTAATGTATGTACAATAGGGTGGTGTTATTTCAGCCACCCATACAAGTGGAGAATATAGTAAATAAGGGGCTCGTTTTTTAATCAATAAAACTTAAAAATTAAATATGCAATATAAAGTAAATTTTTTTAATATTAATAATAAGTATTATTATTCGATCATAGATTATATATGTATATACGAACAAATTTATATTAACCGTGTAAAATACATGGATTTCGCTTTGTTCAGAAATGCATCAAGCCATAACACCAGTCTTTTATTTCTAAACTATAATTGATGGAAACCACGGTTGATTGCCGAATTGGAATTTAAGATTAAATTAGTGGTGACATAACCATAACCATTTAAAACAGCTGTTCCAACCAACCTTATGGCCAACACTTCATTCGATTGGTGGTGCTATACCATAATGCCACTGCCATAACCACAGCGACCAATTGAATTTTGGTTTTCCGCCATAACTATAATCAGCTGATATCTTAGGTGCGAGTAAGAACGTGTTGCCAGACGTTCAAAAAAAAAATATTCTTCACAACCAACGTTTTGGCATAAGTGTAGAATATGAACCATTTAGCTATGCAAAAACCAAAAATGTGACTCCATAGAACTTTTCACGCTGACTTCAACTGTGCCAAAATTATTTGGCGCAAAAGTATACAGAAGATATGAAAGGTTGAATTAAATTTTTATGATTTTTTGAAACCTTAATATCTGATGAGCTAAATAACCGATGCAAAAACTAACGATGACAAAATAAAAGCAAATTATTTGTCTTTCATTTGACGTACATAATTTATATGCTTTTTTTTAATTTTGCGCCTAAAAATACTAAAAAACTTTTGTTCTTTCATAAAATAACATTTTTGAACAAAACTTCATACCTAATGCAAAATAAATTTATATTATTAAGAGAATACAAGTTAGTACCTTTAATTTGATGTACATATTTTAATGTGATCTACTGTTGAGTTTAAGAATGTTTGGAATGAGAATCTAAGCATGAGAACAGAAACCGAAAGAAAAAAAAATGTTTGTTAACCGGTGTAACCGATATTAGATAATGTGGTTACGGTTATGGTTATGACTATGGCGTTATAATATGTCACCACTAATTTCACCTTTAGTTGCGCAAATAATTGATTTCCATAAATTACAGTTTAGAAATAAAAGACTGATGCTTTGTGATATATTTCTGAACATAGCCTTTCTTTTTTCATTGCACTCCAAAAAGTCGATTTACTGTGTATTTTTGGACCACCCTAATGTGCATCTGCACATACCGATCATTTACTAAAGGACTGCCGCAACTCCAAAAGCGGGTTTTCTAGGAGAGAACTTTAAAGTTTTCAATTTATTACTCTCTAAACGCCGCAAGTATGTAGAATCTACATTGTACATACATACATACATATTAATTTTCTCTTCTCATGCGGGGAATTATGCATCATTAGGGTGGTCCAAAAAGGCAAGGGCATGCGAAAAAGCAAGGTCAGGCTTTTTATGCTCTCGCCCTCTAGGATTCTTCTATACCGGAAAAAATTATACCCCTATTTTTTATTTTGAAATCACAAAATATTTAGAGGTCACTCAAAGCGCTTAAAGTTGTCCATATATTTTATATGGGAAAAAACAACTTTTCATATAGATGGTATAGAATTCTTAAAAACCAATATTTTTCGATCGAAAAACTAAATATGGGGGCGAGAGCATTAAAATTCCGACTTTACTCTTTTTGGACCACCCTAAAGTACATACATACATACATAAATATGGGGATATGTACATACATCTTTTTTCGCAAAATTATTGAATTCACAAATACAAAGGCAAAATCACATAAGTTCTAATAAAACTCGATATTTTACTAAATTCATCTCAGACTACAAAATCAATTTGAAATATTAACAATTTGGAGCACTATGTATATGTATGTACTTCATATCGGGCCCTAACCGCGAATAGAACCTAAGCTAATTTTTTCTTCAAGACTTTCTTTTTAGATAAATTTCTGCTTAAAAAAGAAAAATGTTGAAAAAATTTCGCTTACGTTTTTTTTTACGGTTAGCGCTCGCTATGTACATACATATGTATATGTATGTATGTACCCGCATGTACATAAGTACAAGAGCCCTGACGAAAAGTATAACGTCAGCACTAGATTTTTCTAAAAAATTTGGCAATTATAATTTTATATACTACATACACATTTATTTTATTTTTTATTTGTTTTTTACACGATAGAAATCCATTAGAAAACCACTACATAAACTCACTTGCTTTCCAAAAATCCACTTAGTAATAACCGCACAACAGCAGGGCAAAAGACTAACTAAACTGGCTTTGGCTTTTGAACACTTTATAAAGCTTTTGACGCACCGCCAATACGGGATACATATCAGAGTCATACATCATGTACATACTAAAATATATATCTCACAATGTCTTATAAAGCATCATAACTCAAAATTGCTCGTTCGCCAGAAAACGCGAACAACTTTTTCTTAGCTTATGTTAATCATATGGGCAAGAGACTTTTTTCACTTTAGATTTTTCCAACAAGTTACAACAAAATTTTGTTCCAGCTTTTGCTGAAAAGGCAATAAAACATATGGACATAACTAGCGCTTAATTTCAAAAACTAAAACTTTTGAATTGATTCATTTTTATTTACACATTTACATATGTATATAAACGCCAACCGGCAACTGAAATGGAAATATGTATTTATGTATATGTATAAATACTTATATATACTTATGCATGTGCATTCACACGTTTATCCCCCCAACATTGTTTTATATTTAAATGTGTTTGTGCAGAGTCACCCTGTCGGAAAACGCACTAATGCCGAACTGCTTCTTTACTAGAGATTTTAGAACCATGATTAGGGCGCGTTAATTCTCTCCTGCATGCTAGCAACTGTCGAATTTAACATTGCGATGTGCTAGGAAGTCTCAATTGCCCCAAGTTGAATCCCTTTCTCGATAGTTCCGAACTAGTTCTAAAATCTATATATCCGAATCAGTTCTAAAAGCGACAGATGAAAAACGTATCATAATTTTTTCAATATTTCTGAGTTTTCCGTGTGTACGATTTTAAATTATTTTCAAAGAAAATTTGAAATTAAATTTGTTTAAATGTTTGTAAGAAATGCACGTTTACATACCCTTGGCTGTAGTTGGGTTTGCAGAGGTGCTCGCTGTTATTGGTTAGATTCCAAACGGCCCTAAGATGTTAAAATGTTATTATAAATTTTGGTTTTGCATTTCCAAACTATGAAAAAGCTTCTGCGAAGTGCAGAAAGAAATCGTGTTTGAACAAGAAAACTGTCATACTAATATCTATTTAAAGTAAACAAGCCCGTCGCTGCATCCCTCTTTGGATAGTTCCGAACTAGTCCTAAGTTCATCAGACGAGATCTACTATAGTACGTCCTCCATCCCTTTTTCTTTAGTTTCGCACCATTTCTAATTTCGTCACCTTACATATATATTTCTAATACAAACATTTTATTCTTTGGGACAATTTCTGTGAATATTTTCGACTTAGCAGATTCGCATATCATAGAAACCGTTAAAAGTAAAATTGGTAGTTCGATTTTCAGAAAACGATGCATTTTTAATTGTTCATGCTTCTTTCAACAAAATATACATAGGTTTTTGGAAAAAGTGGGCTTGGCAGGAACTTTTCACCCTAAACCAGCAATATGTAGTTTGAAAAAGAACAATAAAAAGTACAAAGTAAAAGTACATTTCGCTACTGTTGAACTGGTTGGGCTCTGTTGGGCTAGTTCGTTTCTTAGCACGATCTAGCACGTAGCTTGAAATTTTTTTTTTTTTGGTTTTCCAGTGGGGTTTGTAAATACATATTTGCTTGCCGGCAAAAGCTCTCTGACTCAGTGCACATTGCAAACTCACCGACTTACATTTTTACATACATAGATATGTATGTATGTATGAACGTAAAAATGAGGTTTGTATAAGAGTACTGTGAGAAGAAGATTGAAGAGAGATATGATCTCTGCAACGAGTAGTGTGAAAAATTTAACTCATCACGGTATCTCGTCAGGCTTTCGCAAACAAGTATTTAGTTATAAAATAATATAGCAATTCCTCTTCCACATGTACACACATTTGTACATAACCTGCAGGAATTTATGTTAGCTTAAATCTAACTTTAATTAAATTACGGAATTTCGATCTTCATTTTATTTGCCGGAATTCGAAAAACTATCGGTGAAATGTATTCAAAGTAATTTTTGTATGGAGCTATTTAAATAGAGACTTGGTTAAAAAAAAAAAACGGCCGATTACGTCTGCACGTCTCACTTTAAATTGGTTTAGTTCTAGTTAATTAAAAGTGAGGTATTTATTAAAGCTAACGACAAATTGGTTATTTTATCAAATGATAATTTTTCACTGCAGAGTGTGTATGTAAGTATGAACAGAGAAGAAACTTGGACTTTTAAAATACAAGCGATCATTAGTGTATATACATTGTACATATTAGGAATGTTAATCCCGGAATTTGTGGCAAATAATCCCAGGATTTTCGGGATTTATAATTTGCACTGATGGCATGATAGACACTCCTTTTCTTAACCAGTATTTCCTTTTTTATTTCATAATTAATATTTCTTTATAAATGTCTAGCTCATTATACATATAACACCACGCGATATTAAATTTTAAACACAAATATCATTATATTCGTGAAAGCATGGGCCAAATATAGTAAAATTGCGTTTTTAGTTGTTAATTCTGACGTCATTAATTCAATTCTGACGTCAATGATTTAAAAAACTCAGTGAAATGAGCTTAGAAAATAAATATGGGTATCAAATTAAAGAGGAAATTCTGTAGAATTTAAGTGTACATAATTTTTTGGTATATAAGGACTTATAAGTGTATGTAAACTCGATAATATCCACGAATTTCATTCTTCTAACTTTATCAGCTTGAAAAATTGCCATTCGTCCTTGTGAATTCAAAAATTTTATTTATTTAATTCTAAAGAAGGTCCTTCTATTTTTATTCTAAATACATTTCATTGAATTTTTAAAATAATTTTTGGAATTAATCATATTTTTGAAATTAAAAAGTCCTTAGACATTTATTATCTTGGTCTTAAACGTTTATTAATTTTTGGTAAAAAATTATATTCATATGCATACTTAAATCTAAGATGCCTTATTTTTCCATCGTGTTCCAAAATAATCATGTAAGAGACATTTTTCGCCGAAATAAAGAAATCTTGGCTCGAATCGTGGTAGTCGCGAACGAGCAACTCGTCACGTAAAAATTCATATTTCGGATTATAACAGACGTGAACATACCACTCGTCGTTTAATCAGCTGATTAATATCAAGGAATGAAACCGATTCAAAATAACGTTCCGGTTTGGGTTTCGGTTTTGCCAAGTGTTTCGGTTTCGGTTTTGGTTTCGTTCTTCAAAATTTATTTCGGTTTTGGTTTCGGTTTCGTTCCGGTTTCGGTTTTTCACAGAAATTTCGTTGATATTATTTAAATCACAATGTCTTAAACGTTGAGGAAAGAAAATCTAAAATTACAGTTCACTGATAATATCAACACTAGGTTCTTTCCCTAACAATCCAGACCGGATTTGGTAATTAGAGAATAAGAGAAACATTTTCTTTCAAAAATGGAACAAAGTTCAGAAGTACGGAAACGCAAAAACCCACATTTCGTGCCCACAAGTCGAGAAACAGCTGATTCACGTTGTTCTTGTTTTTGTCACTTATACCATGTTCTGACCGACATCGGAAACATGTTTTCGTTGCTAAAACTGGTTTTCGACCTAAAACTTCCACTCATTCCAATCGGTGTCTTCACTAGTTTTTTTCGATTATTTATCGAAGTGGAAGTCATATTTTATCATCTTTAATACGCCATTTCGGATTTATTGTTAATTGCCGGGCCAAAGCAAAATAAGAATGAAAGTTAAAGGTTGTAAATGAAAAGAAAATGAAGGAAAAATGTTTTGGTTGTCGGTCAGAACATGGTATTAAATGCAAACACTTGGAAATTGAATTTTGGTTTCACAAATTTGATTTTAAGTACATAGACTGAAAATACATCAACAGGCCATTCACTTTTCCTTAAAAGCACCAAGTAAATGCAGGCAACATGTAAACACAATAAAGCTGATATGCACTTTGACACTTTATCCATTTTTACTCGGAGAAAATTTCGGGCTGTTTCGGGCAGGAAGAAGAATACACTTACGATCGAATACGCTCAAATTTTCGCTCTCTATTACCCATTTTGTTGAGTACAGGCATGATTTCTGGGCTATTTTGGGCACACGCGGGATCTCGCATTGCGTACGGGAAAGAAACTACTTAAATATAATTAATCGATTCACAACAACAAAGTCATCAGCAGATTTTTGCGAAAAGTTATTTACTACTTAACAAGACTTTTAGCAAAATGTTGCTGACTTTGGTTAAATAAATCATTTATTTCAAAGAAATTTTTATTTATTATTTTTGTAAATTTCTAGAAACCGATTGAAACCTGTGATTGAAATGGTTTCGGTATCGTTCCTTTTCAGGTCGAGATAACGGTTACGGTTTCGGTTTCGGTTTTGAAAAACGAAACGGTTTTAAACGGTTAAGGTTTCGGTTTGGGTTTCGGTTTCATTCCTTGATTAATATACACACATATAGTGGATATTGTATCAACAACGTTGCCACAAAAGAGCAAATGGAAGCAAAAGTATTGGGAGCAGTTTAACGGGAACAACGGCAACGTTTCCATAAAGAGCAAAATGCTAACAAAACTCCCGGAAACGTTCTCAAGAAGAACAGGATGAAAATAAAAACAAGAACGAACATTTCGAGAACGTTTTCAAGGAGGATCAAATAAGAATAAAAGTCTGTGGAACGTTCTGCTAGAGAACAAAAGTTTTGGGAACTTATGTTAAGAATGACAAGGCATCTGCGTGTTGAGATCAAAAATCGCTTCAATGAGAGCCACGAAGGTTCATTCTAAGCCAGAGGAAAGCTGGATAATTCCAACTTCAAGCTCGTTTATTGTTAGGGTGAACTGTTTATTTATGGAGCATTTTTTTATGTGCAAGAAAAGTTCGTTTCTTAAGTCTTTCGTTAACTTTATTTGCATAATTTTGTTTGTTTCATAAATCCTGTTGAGAACGTTCTCGACATTTTTGTTCTCATTTCGGTTTTGGTTTTAAAGCGTTCTTGGGAACAAAACTACGAGAATGACATTTAATTTCGATCATACCTTCTATTGTCGGTCCTCGTGAAAATACCTGCTCTGCCTTCTGACGAGGTTGAGCATTCCCGTGTAATTATTAGTAATCAAAGCGAATTCTTAGCC